CCCCAAAACCCCAAAACCCCTCATTGCTAATATAGATGAAGAATATTAAAGTTAGTGAATAGTAAAATATATCAATTAATTTCAATAAATTAACAAATAACTCAATAGTGAATTATTTTATAAAAATGATTGGAAAAAAATATTTATAAATCAGTTTAGCTTTCACTCCTTTAATATTAAGTGCCATTTAAAGCTAATCATGTAAATTCTAAATTTTTTACATTTAAGGTTGAGACAATGAGTATTTCAATTCCCATTCAAATTCTTGTGAAAGTAAGCTACTTTTTTTTGTTGATTAATCAAATCTTTACACATAGAATGCTAAGAAGCGGTCTTCGGCTGCCTTTAGTGCCTTTCATTAAAATCAGATTTAGGTGAAGAAGAGATTTAATGTTTGAGTTGTATGAATGGATTATTTCTTCTTTAAGGAAATAAATCTCATTAAAATTATACTATTTGCACTCCTAATTGCTAACTAACTCAATAATCCTTCATAAATGGACAGATTGAATCTGAATGTCTATGTATTATATATAAAGTTTATATATTTAAATTTCTAGGGTGTGGAGAGAATTGCTAATCCTGCAATCTAAACTATGGCTGTGAGATATGTCCAGGAGAAGATTAGTAAAAAGGGTGGATCAATACAATTTAAGTTAATAGTGAACATAGTTCGCCTTAAAATGAATTCAAAATTTGCCAATGTATCAACTCTCAAATTAACAACCATATTTTTTAGAATGTTAGACGGACTATGAGTGTAAAACTTGCTCGAAAGATGATATTACTAAATGTACAGAGTGTAGCTATCCAGTTAATCAAAAGTCATTGTTAATTGGAGATGCTCAAAATCCATGCAGTAAGATTATTTCTCTTATAAATATTCATAGATCCCTAGTCAGAATCTTCATACAGCTCTGATATTAATTGTGTGATATTTGACTATGAATAATAATAAAATTGTATTAAATGCAAAGATGGATATTATTTGGCTAAGGAATCACTCTTTAATGAAACTACATAAATGTATCAAGATCAGTGTTTAGAATGTAATTTTATCATATTATTATCTATCTATAGCATCCTAAAGTGAATATTGCCTAGATGCTTTGAGTTAAAATAGTTGTCAACTATGTATCTATGGATATGGCCTCTTTATTGATTCCATTGGGAATAAAAAGTGTCTCTGTAAGCTAACTTAATAAATCTTATATTACATATCATTACTATACTTTAATTTATTTTTGACATTTTTACTATTTTAAATTTAGAATGCTAATCAGAGTAAGCTAATTCAGAGGATATATTTGATACAATTCCTATAAATTGCAATTTTTCCTTTGATGTCTCAACAGGCATGCCAAAATAGGGATAAATAACAGCTTGCTTAAATGGTTATTTTGATCCACTAAAAAATAAATGCATCTCAAATTGTGGTGTAGGCAGGTATGGCTAAGTTACATTTAATTAAAGAGGCATGATTGATAGCTCAGTCTGTAACGAGTGTGATAATAATTGCTTTGAATGTGCGACTTAGCATGAATGTATTTCATGCAAAAAGGGTTTTTATTTGTCCACTGGCTCAAATTAAAAAACAACAGGGATATGCATCTTAAAATCAGGGACAAGTGAATTAGTTCTTTATGTTGACAGTGTTATTGGAATGAAAACTACTGATTAAATTACAGGCTTGAATCTTGATGATCCATTTTATTCGATACAGAGTGCAATAATTAAGGCCTATGAGTATGGCTCTGAGTATGAAAATGCAATTGTAAATATAATGCTTATACCTGGTAAGGTTCACTCAATGCTAAGATACGATGAAAAAATAATTCTACCCCAAAAATATGATTAAAATTCCTAATCAACGAAGATAATAATTGATACTCTCGATGGGACTTAAGTAAAAGTCCTATATAAGCTCAGAGATAAATATACATTCCTTGTTGGAGGAGGGCTAGAACTAAGAAATATAGTATTTGATGCTACTGACTCAATTTTAGATCCTAGATTTACCAGTCTAGATACCTCACTTTTGAATTCAAATGATTACACTTGCTTAAAAGATCCCTTCAATAATTGTTGCTAAATTTCTAAGGATTTATCTAGCGGAAAATATACTACAAGTGGACCAGAATTCTGCTAGTTTTAAATATAACCGTAAGTTTAACTAGAATAACAAATAAATTTTTACATTAACTTAGAAATTCAAATTTATAAAATACACTTTAGAGATGATTAATGTCATTTGCCAATAGGAGGATCACTTATCTAGTTTGACATCTCTAATTAAACTACTTTAGCTTCACCTTAATTTTTAAATATAGAGGTATAATATACTTTAACTCTAATGTATTTTAGAATGTTAGATTTGAAAACTTCATCTATGATTTTAATACCATCATAGAAATAAATGATTTAGGAGGGCACATTAGCATGATTAATACTAGTTTCACAAATATAAATTCATGTGGAAGTGTCATTAGAAATAAGAGGTTTGATTAAGTCTCTAGTTATCTTGAGCCAGTCTTTCTTAGTCGAAGTTTACTAAATTCCTTTGAAATACTCAAAAGCAAGTTACCAAGCACTGATATCTTTTAAGATATATGTGGCAAATCTATGAATATACCATGTTTTAGTTTAAACATATCTGGAGGTATAGTTGAGGACTTTGGTAGAATGATTAATTTTTCTTAAGATCCATAATGGGTAAATCCTTTGCTAAAAATGAAAAATCTAGGATAATTTTTAGATTTAGATAATTTTCAAGGTCCAGTTTTAATCTAAAATGTAAATTTCACTAACAACCTTGCAGTCAATCTTGACTAATTTAATGCAAAGATGGATATTATTTGGCTAAAGAATCACTCTTTAATGAAACTACATAAATGTATCAAGATCAGTGCTTAGAATGTAATTCAATCATATTACTATCTATCTTTAGCATCCTAAAGTGAATATTGTCTAGATGCTTTGAGTTAAAATAGTTGTCAACTATGTATCTATGGATATGGTCTCTTTATTGATTCCATTGGGAATTAAAAGTGTCTTTGTAAGCTAGACTTAATAATTCTTTTATTACATCTCATTGTTATACTTTAATTTATTTTTAACATACTATTTTAAATTTAGAATGCTAATCAGAGTAACCTAATACAGAGGATTTATTTGATACAATTCCTATAAATTGCAATTTTTCCCTTGATGTCTCAACAGGCATGGCAAAATAGGGATAAATAACAGCTTGCTTAAATGGTTATTTCGATCCACTAAAAAATAAATGCATCTCAAATTGTGGTGCAGGCAGGTATGGCTAAGTTACATTTAATTAGAGAGGTATGATTGATAGCTCAGTCTGTAACGAATGTGATAATAATTGCTTTGAATGTGCGACTTAGCATGAATGCACTTCATGCAAAAAGGGTTTTTATTTGTCCACTGGCTCAAATTAAAAAACAACAGGGATATGCATCTTAAAATCAGGGACAAGTGAATTAGTTCTTTATGTTGACAGTGTTATTGGAATGAAAACTACTGATTAAATTACAGGCTTGAATCTTGATGATCCATTTTATTCGATTCAGAGTGCAATAATTAAGGCCTATGAGTATGGCTCTGAGTATGAAAATGCTATTGTAAATATAATACTTATACCTGGTAAGGTTCACTCAATGCTAAGATATGATGAAAAAATAATTCTACCCCAAAAATATGATTAAAATTCCTAATCAACGAAGATAATAATTGATACTCTAGATGGGACTTAAGTAAAAGTCCTATATAAGCTCAGAGATAAATATACATTCCTTGTTGGAGGAGGGCTAGAACTAAGAAATATAGTATTTGATGCTACTGACTCAATTTTAGATCCTAGATTTACCAGTCTAGATACCTCACTTTTGAATTCAAATGATTACACTTGCTTAAAAGATCCCTTCAATAATTGTTGCTAAATTTCTAAAGATTTATCTAGCGGAAAATATACTACAAGTGGACCAGAATTCTGCTAGTTTTAAATATAGCCGTAAGTTTAACTAGAATAACAAATAAATTTTACATTAACTTATAAATTCAAATTTATAAAATACACTTTAGAGATGATTAATGTCATTTGCCAATAGGAGGATCACTAATCTAGTTTGACATCTCTAATTAAACTACTTTAGCTTCACCTTAATTTTTAAATATAGAGGTAATATAAACTTTAACTCTAATGTATTTTAGAATGTTAGATTTGAAAACTTCATCTATGATTTTAATACCATCATAGAAATAAATGATTTTGGAGGACACATTAGCATGATTAATACTAGTTTCACAAATATAAATTCATGTGGAAGTGTCATTAGAAATAAGAGGTTTGATTAAGTCTCTAGTTATCTTGAGCCAGTCTTTCTTAGTCGAAGTTTACTAAATTCCTTTGAAATACTCAAAAGCAAGTTACCAAGCACTGATATCTTTTAAGATATATGTGGCAAATCTATGAATATACCATGTTTTAGTTTAAACATATCTGGAGGTATAGTTGAGGACTTTGGTAGAATGATTAATTTTTCTTAAGATCCATAATGGGTAAATCCTTTGCTAAAAATGAAAAATCTAGGATAATTTTTAGATTTAGATAATTTTCAAGGTCCAGTTTTAATCTAAAATGTAAATTTCACTAACAACCTTGCAGTCAATCTTGACTA